TGGATCTTTGTGAGGCATTTAATGCTCAGACCTCAGTTTCCTCCTCTTCCAAATGGATGCCCTAGAAATGTCCTTCCAGATGTATGATCTGTGAACATAGACAGGATGGCCACAGTGTGAAGGTGCATTATGGGGGAGTGGGCTGGGGGATGGGTGGTAAGAATCCTTCCTTCCCTTTTCCTGTCCCTAATCTCTGGCAGTCTCAGAATCCATCAAGGATGGCCAGGCGATGGGAAGGAGTCACCAAAAGAGATGCCCTCTCCTTGCCTCCCCACCTGTACTAAGGTGGCAGGAGCGCTCCCATGGCTTGGATGAAATGGGAGTCAACAACTCCATTCTGTGACGTGGAAGGTTTACCATCCACCCTGCCACTGCCTCCTGACATCCTCTAGACCTCATCACCTTCCCTGACTCTATGCCCTGCATTCCTCTTGTATTGCTATTTGATCTACTTTTGTGGCATGAGTACCTCTGGGACTTACCATCCACTTCACTGCTGCACCATAATGACTTCTACCTTGCAGAAGAACTTTGTTTTTTGTATGTTTTTAGCTCCCCCAATTTGAGTTTGGGCTTTTAAAAATTTTTATTTTGAGTTTGACTCCAGAATTTAGAATAGTGCTTAGCACACCATGATTAATAAATGATTTTTTATTCATTCATTCATTTATTCATTCATTCATTCATTCATTCATCCTTCTATGATCCTCTATTAGGGGATGTCCTGACCTTGGTGATGAACCCTGAAAACAAGGGCATAGGAAATGAAGGGCTTGAGTAATCACATGACCTTGATACTTCAAGACCTGTGATTTCTTGGTGTGGGAACTCCCTTTACTGACAGAGAGCAACCCAGAATCAGAGTCACAGAACCTCATCTTTGCAAGAGAACTGGTACCTGAACAAAAATCCCCTGTGTTGTTGTTGTTTTTCAGTCATTTTTCAGTTGTGTCTGACTCTTTGTGACCTCCTTTTTGGGGTTTTGTTGGCAAAGATACTGGAGTGGTTTGCCATTTTCTTCTTTAGGCATATTACAGATGAGGAAACTGAGGCAAACAAGGGTAAGTGACTTGCCCAAGGTCTCATAGCTAGTAAGTGTCTGAGGCCAGATTTGAACTCAGGTCTTCCTGACTCTAGGCCCAGTATTTTATCCCTATCCACCACACTACTGTAACATGACACCCAAGTGGTGATCTAACCTATTTTTCATTGTGGAGAAACTCATTCCCTCTCAAGGCAGCCCATTCCACTATGCCTTAGTTGATGACCGCAGAGAGCTCTCTTGACTTAAGAAAAAAAAGTCAGCTCACTGCTGCCCAGCTGGTGATGAGCCTTTGTGAGGCTGGGCTAGCCTGGCCCTTGGATGTCAGACACGGTCTGTCACCAGCGCTGTACTGGAAGCTTTTCCTACTGTGTGGGACTAGCCAGGGCTTGTGCTGTCTTGGCAGATCCTTGGAGCCCAGGGTGACCTCCCTGCCATGATGAGGCACTGGAGGAGGACCTTGGCAGAGGACAGGCATGCTTCTTTGGCGGAAATAAACCATAGGTCAACAGTCACTCTTCATTCGGAAATGTCGATGTTTACACAAAAGCATTCAAAAGCCCAAACAATCCTTTCTCTCATCTAAAAAAGAGTCAGAGTTCCTTAACAGATCCCAAACTACTAATTTTCAGTCTTTCCCCCAAGGAATATAACAACTAGGAATCCATCCGACGTCCCCTCTCCCACGCTGGCAGCTCATTGCCACAGCCCTGCAATTCTCCCCCCACCCCCAAATCCTCGGAGCAAGCCGGGGACAGCCTGGTACTGGGTAGCTGGAAATGGTCTGGGAGTCACAGGACCTGGGTTCCAATTTAATCTCCACTTACCCTCACTGGGCCCCTTCTGAAAAACAGGAGGGGTATGGGATAGATTACTAAGGGCCCTTACAGTTCTGATATTCTATAGTCTACAGCCCTCCCAGCTCTGACATTCTCTGTTCTAAGGATCCACTCAGCTCTGACTTTCCCTGTTCTAAGGCCCCTCCAGCTCTGACATTCTGTGACTTAAGTCAGTTCTTAAACATTTTTTTTCCTGTCCTAGACCCCTCTGACAGGCTGGGCCTGATCTGGAAAACATGAGGGGATTGGACTAGATTATTAAAGTCCCTTCCAGCCCTGATATTCTCTGTTATCTAAAGACAACCGTCTATGGACTCAGAAAACTTTTTTTTAATTCATAAAAGAAATGATAAATTTAAATTAGGGGTCAATGAAAATAAAAACATTTTTTTCCCATCCAAGTTCTCAGACCCTCTGAAATCCCCCGAAGAGGTCCATGGACTATAGGTTTAGGACCTGGGCTCGAAAATCATTCTATGTTCTAAAGGTCCTCTGAACGTTAAAATTGTACATCCTAAGGGCCCTTCTAGCTCTGTGTTCTAAGGGCCTTCCAAGCCCTAACATTCCAAGTTCTAAAGCGTCTTCTGGCTCTGACATTCTAACATTTTATCTCTAGCTCTAAATTCTCATTGTCTGTCTTCCTGAGCCTCAGTTTCCTTTTCTGTAAAATGAGAATGTTGGAATTGATGATCTCTGAAGTGCCTTTGAGCTCCACATCAAAGGTCCTTCATTCTTGTGATCCCATTCTCTAGGGGGCTGACTTGATCAAGTTGGGGGGGCTGTCCCTTGGTCCACCAATCCTTTCTTCCCCTCCCCACCTCCTATTCCTCCTCATATCATTCCTCTGCTTTATCTGGTTTCTCCCTGAAGGTGCTGCCAGTGACTCAGTTCAAGAGTCCCAGAATTTCAGAGCCTGAAGGGACTTCCAAAGCCATTCATTCCGACCCATGCCTGATCAACAAACCCCTCTCCAGCATCCCTGACAAGTGAGCAGCCTGCTCCTGAGATGTGGATCACCTCTGGAGGCAGCTGGATGGTACAGTGGACAGGGAAATAGAGTTAGAGTCAGAAAGCCCTGGGTTCAAATCCTGCCATCAGCATTATTAGCAGTGTGACCCTAGGGAAGTTATTTATCCTCTGTCTGCCTCAGTTTCCTCAATAATAAAAGGAAGATAACAATGGCTTCCAGGGTTGTTGTGAGGATCCCATAAGGTAATATTTGTACAGTGCCTGGCACATAGCAGGTACTTAATAAATGCTCTTCCTTTCTCCAGGATAAACGTCCTCAGTTCTTTCAACTGATTCTTGTACGGCACGATCGTGATTGCCCTCCACTGGATGGCTACAGTTCTCAGAACAGAACACAGTAGTTCAGCTGTGGGTTGGCCATGGCTGAGGACAGCAACCCCATCACCTCCCTTGTTCTCTCCATGCTGCCCAGCTGAAGAGTGCATTAGCGAGTTGGTTATCAAAGGAACATTGTTCCCATCCAGATGGTAAATTGAATGAAATGTCCTTTCAAACAATTCATGCTGAGGGCCCCCAATAAAAAGCCTCAGGTGCCATAAAACACTAGTTGACTCAGTTTCCAAATGGTTTGAATGATATTTAAACACTTCATCTTAGCAGCAAATTGGTACTCAATGGTTTTTGGGAGTGGTGACTGATATAGCCAATCAGTACCATTTTCACGGGTAGTTTGGAACATTTTGTTATCCCGCTGCCTTTCCAAAGTTAAGTGTTACTGGCCCATTTTATCAATAAGGTGAAAAAGAACCACAGGGGGCCATGATTCATTTATTTCCTGAGTGGTCTCCAGTAAGAACTAGATTTTTAAGCTCCCGTTTTACATTGGGAATTAAAAAAAAAGGTTTTCAAACCCTTTTCAAATTGAGTACTTTTGGGTTTTCAAATTGGGTATTTTTTTTTTCAAAGAAGGGTTTGAAAAAGGGAGAGGGAGACTGTCATTTTACATAAGGAGAAAGAGGAAGGTCTAAGAGTGATTCATAGATGTTTAGGGGTCCAAGCATCATTTCAATGATGACATGTTTCTCTTGATACAATGTAGGTAATATTCCTTGTAGGTAATATGTAGGGACTTTTTTTTTTTTTTTTGGTCAATGTCCTCCCAGCACCCAGCACAGTGCCTGGCACATAGTAGGTGCTTAGTAAATATTTATCATTTGATTAAGGGAATAAATTAGGAAACTAAAAGCTTCAGCAGCTCCCTACCCTACCAATAAGGATTGATGGAATAACTAAGGCTATTTTCGAAGGGAGAAAGAAAGAAGGAGGGGAGGGAATAAGCATGCATATGACACCTACTACATGCCAGGCACTATGCTAAATGCTTTGCAAGTAATTAGCTCATATGATCCTTCTAACAATCCTATGAGATAGGTGCTATTATTAGCCCCATTTTACAGTTGAGGAAACTGAGGTAGACAGAGGTTAAGTGGTTTGACCAAAGTCACATAGCTAGCAAATGTCTGAGGGCAGATTTGAACTTGAGTCTTCTTGACTCCAGGTCCAGAACTCCATCCACCGTGCCATCTAGCTGCCTAATGTAGATGTAATGCTGGATAACTGGAACATGGAATCAGATTGGGTCTATACATGTGATTTTATTGTTGAGATGGAGACCATCCATGTGGAAACTCTCCCTACTTATGCAGAGCAGCAACCCTTGGGTCATTTATGGTTTTAGAGATTTGTCTGAGAGCCCTGAGAGATTGAGAGACTTTTTCTTGGTCAGACATACCTAGAATGTGTCAGAGGCAGGATTCAAACTCAGATCTTCCTGTATTCAAGGCCTACTCTCAATTTACAGATTAAAATGGGAGAGTAGGACATCATTCATTATTTATCCATTTTTCAGTTGTGTCCAACTCTCCATGACCCCATTTTAGGTTTACTTGGCAGAGATCCTGGAGTGGTTTACCATTTCCTTCTCCAGATCATTTTATAGATTAGGAAACTGAGGCGAACAAGGCTAAGTGACTTGCCCAAGGTCACACAGCTAGTTAAGCTAGTTATTTGTCTGAGGTCAGATTTAAACTCAGTAAGATGAGTCTTCCTGACTCCAGGCCCATTGCTCTGTGCACTATGGCTCCACCTACCTGCCTAGGACATCAGAGTACAATGCCAGGAAAGATTCGGAGTCTGAGGACCTGGGTTCAAATTCCAGCTCTGTCCCTCACTGCCAGTAAGACTGTGAATAAGTCTCTTCTCTGGGCCTCAGTTTCCTCCTCTGTAAAAAGTGGGGGTTGGATTAGATGATCTTGAAAGTACATCTCCTCCAGCCCTAAGTACGTGATCTATGAATATAAATATATGATACTGTATCTTATTTCCTTTAAGTCATCAATACTTGCTGCTTTAGCAATTAGATGATAAGTAGATTTTTTTTTTGGTGGCAATTGGGATTAAGTGACTTGCCCAGGGTCACACAGCTAGTAAGTGTCAAGTGTCTGATACCTGATTTGAACTCAGGTCCTCCTGACTCCAAGGCTGGAGCTCTATCCACTGCGCCACCTAGCTGCCCCAATAATTAGATATTTTAAATTTTCCTTTTTCCTTCCGCCAAGCTGAAGGAAGGAAATGGTTCCATTTTGGTGAGAAAAGTAGTTAGCCTGGAAAGATGAGCAAAAAGGCAGACTCTGGAATTCTAGAAAATTATCAGGTAGCTAAAGGCCCAGAATGTCAGAGCAGGAAGCAGTGAATTACTGGTGTTTTACAACTAGTTTTCAAAATTAAAAAAAAAATGCAGACAAATTTTGAGTATAATTTGCTTATTAATACTTTCTCCACCACTTTCCTAAGTCTAGAAATCAACGGAACACTAAATTAAGCCCTGGATTGTAGTGTTTGCCCATTTCTGAGGTGCAAATGCTCACAGTGAAAATTTAACAATTGAATTCCACAAGCTGTAGCACCCAATGACTGGAAGGGACTTTAGGGATCATCTACCCTGGCCCCCTACTTAACAGAGAGGGGAACTGAGACCCAGTCAGCAGAAATGACTTGCCCAGAGTTGTATAGCTAGCAGGTGGCAGAACTGGAAAGCAATTCATCTGATTCCCATTGCAAACTTCTCTCCTCACACTGTGCCATAAGGTCCAGCCTCTTGTTTCCTGATGTCTTATTTCAGGTGAGAAAGGTTTGGTGTGCTCAGAGTTTTAGCACTCATTCAGGGAATTCTAGAGACCTTGTAATGGATTTCTAAACGTCCTACCTGGAGGAAAGCTTCCCTGCCTGCCTTTCTCTCTTCTTTCCTGTCATCATACCATTGTGCTTTAAGCAAAGGTGAAATGATAGGTCTCATTCCTATCTCCATCACTTTTTCTTGGAATAAAATAATTCTCCTTTTCTGCCAGCACTTTCCTCTTGAAATCAGACCATGGCATGCCACATTATTCTAACAAAAGCTGAACAAAAATCCTTCTTTTTCTCTTACCAATTAATCCACCAACCAACATTTATTCAGCTCTTACTATGTATGATGTGTCAGACACCAGGCATACAAGGACAAAAATGAAACATTCTCTGCCTTCAAGAAGATTACATTCTTTCAAGGGAGACACAATGTGTACATTCAAACATATGTGATGGGAGAAGGCAATAGTAGGTAGAGGGATTGAAAAGGTCTTCATGTAAGAGGCAAACCTTGAGTTAAACTTTGCAGGGAAATAAGGATTCTAGGAGAGAGAGATGAGGAAGGAGTGAATTCCAGTTGGTCCAGAGTTTATGTGACTTAAATCCTAGATTAGGGCAACTAGATGGTGCAGGGGGTAGATCACCAGGCCTGAAGTTAGGAAGACCTGAGTTCAAATCTGACCTCAGAGACTTACTAACTCTGTGACCTTGGACAAGCTACTTAACTCTACCTCAGTTTCTTCATCTGTAAAATGATCTGGAGAAGGAAATGACAAACAACTTTAGTATCCCTGCCAAGAAAGCCTCAAATGAGGTCATGAAGAGTTAGACATGACTGAAAAATGACTTAGCAACAATAATCCTAGATTACCCAGGGAATGCTAGGACCTAGACTTGAACCCATGGGAATGCCCAGTCCCTGTACCCCAGTGCTGCTGCTCAGTGATTGACCTCTAGTCTCATAAGAGATAGCACCACTTTATCTGCCATCTTTAGAGTTTACATGGTGACCACTGGCACATACCCCAGTCAGTCATGTAGTAACATGGTCAAATCTGATTGAGGTCTACAGAACAAAGGCTCATGGAGTACCATGGACCTCCTCCCTGCTGCCAACCCAGTACCCTTTCCTAAACTGTGCCATGTTGACTATTCCACAACTTTCAAAAGAAAGTTCAATAGAATCACAGAATTTCAGAACTGGAAGGGACCTCAGTGACCACTGCGTCCAGCCTGTAGCTGAGTAAGAAATTCCTAGACAACAACCCTGACAAGTGGACGTCCAGTCTCTACCGGAAAGGCTCAAGTGAGGGGAAATCCACTATTTCTCAAGGCATCCACTTAACTTTTGGACAGCTGTAATTGGGAGGAAGTTTTTTCCTTGCATAAAACCTAATTTGGTCTTTCTGCAACTTCCACTCATTACTTCTAGTTTCTGGATGACAGCCCTTTGAATACTAGAAGATATCTCAAGCCTCACCTGAATCTTCTGTTCTTCAGGTTAAACATTCCAGGCTCCTTCAAGCAAACTTCCTATGGCAGTATTTCGAACCATTCTGATCACCTTTCAGTGGGTAGGACCCTTCTGGTCTCTGGCTATGCCAGTTGAACACAAGGGCTTGTCAATATCCTTTCTAAAAATGTATTTTCTAGACCTGAACTCAGGACACCAGATGGGGTCCTACTAAGGCAGAAGACAGCGGAACAATCAGGTCCTTCTTCCTGGACACTAACCCTAATGTAGTCTAATATCACATTTAAAGAGAGGCTAACACATGACGAGAATGATTAATATTAATAGATTATGATTAATAGTAATTAATGATATTAATATTCACATTAATATTAATTAATACCACATTAAAAGTGACTGATGCTTACATGAATGTTGTGGTTAATATTAATTATATAATGATATTGATATTAATATGAATTAATCTCACATTAAAAAGAGGCTAGCCACTTGTTGACTGACACAGTTATATCCTAGGATCCTTGATTTAGACTGAATTCTCTTGGTAGAGCAGGGATTGTGTCCTTATCTTTTTTTGTAGCCCCAGCATTTAGCACAGCGCTTGGCATAAAGTAAGTGCTTAATAAATGCTTTGTGACTGATTCATCAGAGCTAGGAATGGGACTTTAGTGGCAGTCTAATCCATCCCCTTCATTTTCCTGAGGAGGAAACTGAGCTCAAGTCCAGAGAACTGATGTGAATTGTCCAAGGTCACTCAGCTTGTGTTCTTTCCATTATATCTCTACAGTAAAGTGCCCCACAGGACCAAGAATATGATAGATACTCAACAAATGAAATCCAGCTCATATTATCAAGTAAGATGATTTTTGTCAAATGCTCAGCACAGCATCTGTCAGGCGGTATGCACTAAATAAATATGTATTCTCTTCCCCACCTAGGATTTGGTGATCTGTTTCATTTTTGTATTTGTACAGCCGGCATCATTGGCACTAGGTGGCGCAGTGGATTGAGTGCTGGCCCTAAAGTTAGGAAGGCTCATCTTCCCAAGTTCAAATCTGGCCTCAGACACTTACTAGCTGAGTGGCCCTGGGCAAGTAACTTCGCTCTGTTTGCCTCAGTTTCCTCATCTGCAAAATGAGCTGGAGAAGGAAATGACAAACCACTCCAATATCTTTGCCAACAAAACTCCAGATGGGGACACGAACAGTAGGACACAACTGAAAATGACTGAACAACATCCAATGTTTAATGCATGGTCTCCCACTTAATACATGACTGTGGGGCAGCTGTGTGACATAGTAGAAAGAGCAACAGACTTGGAGTCAGGAAGATAATCCTGCTTCACATACTTAACTAGCTGTATCACCCTGGGCAAATCACTTAACCTCTTTCAGCCTCAGTTTCCTCAATTGTAAAATGGGGATAACAACAGGAATGAGTTCCCACAGGATTGTTGTGAGGATGAAATGAGATGAAATGTGAAGTGCCCTGAAAACCTTAATGTACTAAATCATCCAGCCATCATTATTATCATTATCATTGTAGTGGTTGAATTGAATTTCACAGCTGAGGCTCAGAGCAGGAAAGTGACTTGTCCAAACTCACACAGGTTATATGCGACAGAGCCAGGATTCAAACCCAGGTCTTCTATCTCCATTTCTGGTGTTCCTTCTACCACTCCACCCTGCTGATGTGCCCACAAATAAGGGAGAGAGAGATACAGCTATTGGAAAGATACAAAACAAAGTGTTGTGGGATTTCAGCGGAAGCAAAAATCAATTTCAGCTAGGGGCAATCAAGGAAAGCTGGGCGGGCTTTCCAGGAGGGGATAGTAATTATTGGAAATGACGTGGGCAAGGGCAGGTGAGTGGGTGAGAAACCGGACATCAACAGGGAAGCAAGGAGTCTGGGTTAGCCGGAAGGCTGGGCACTTGAAAACGGGTCCTATGAGATAAAGATTGATTGTTGACCTAACATTGAAACTATTTCAACGATTATCTAATTGCTTCCCCCCTCCTTAGCTAATTGGATTCTATCAGACGAAGAGTCGGTCATGCAAAACAAATGTACTTTCAAACCAATTTGCTGGGAGAGATTCAAAATCCAAGCCAAAATTTAGCGGCTCCCACCTGTTTTGAAATCGTAACTCCCTTTTGCTTTGTGATGGATTTTGTGTTGCTCTTCCCCTTTGCCCTAAAGTGCTGAATAGTGTGTATTTGCTCCTGAACTCCAAGTGAACTTTTATCTAGTATGGAAGTGGTTTGAGAAGGTTGTGACAAAGATCCCCTGGAGTGGTCCAAGCTAGAGTTCTCCTTCACAGCTCTCATCTGATGAATGCGTATGCCGATATGCCAAAAACTTGTTTTCTTCTCTTCTTGCTTAAAACCATCTCTCTCCCATCCTTGTTACAATTCCAGAAAGTAAGCATAAATACCTCATTGGTGGAGATTAGATATATTGATGCTGTTGTTAAGTCATTTCAGGTGTGTCTGACTCTTCATGACCCCATTTGGAATTTTTTTTGGCAAAGATATTGGAGTGGTTTGCCATTTCCTTCTCCAGCTTATTTTACAGATGAGGAAACTGAGACAAAGTGACTTGTCCAAGGTCACACAGCCTAG